TGCTCTTCCGATCTAAAACACCCCAAAAACCCCCAAAACACCCCAAAAAACCCCAAAAACCCCCAAAACACCCCAAAAACACCCCAAAAACACCCCAAAAACACCCCAAAAACACCCCAAAAACACCCCAAAAACACCCCAAAAACACCCCAAAAACAGCCCGTCGTACCCCATCTGGGGGGACAGGGGGTCAGGGGGTCCCCAAAACACCCCAAAACCCACCCCAAAACACCCCAAAAATAGCCTGTCGTACCCCATCTGGGGGGACAGGGGGTCAGGGGGTCCCCAAAACACCCCAAAAACCACCCAAAACCACCCCGAAACACCCCAAAACAGCCCATCGTACCCCATCTGGGGGGACAGGGGGTCAGGGGGTCCCCCAAACCCCAAAAACCCCCAAAACCACCCAAAAACACCCCAAAAACACCCCAAAAACACCCCAAAAACAGCCCAAAAACAGCCCGTCGTACCCCATCTGGGGGACAGGGGGTCCCCAAAACCCCACAGAGCCCATCTGGGGGGCACAGGGGATCCCCAAAACCCCACAGAACCCATCTGGGGGTCCCCCAAACCCCACAGAGCCCATCTGGGGGTACAGGGGGGGGTCCCCAAGTGTGGGGGGCCTGACTGGGGACATGGGGGGGGTCCCATGGGGGGCGTTTGGGGACCCCAAAGGGGAGTTTGGGGGTGCTGAGAGGGTTGGGAGTGCCAGGGAAGGTTTTGGGGTGCAGGGAAAGGTTTGGGGACCCCAAGGGTGACCCAGGGGACTCTTGGTGACCCCAAAGATGACCCAGGGAAGGTTTGGGGACCCCGAAGGTGACCCGGGGAAGGTTTTGGGGTACAAGGAAAGGTTTTGGGGACCCTGAGGGTGACCCAGGGAAGGTTTGGTGACCCCAAGGAAGGTTTGGTGACCCCAAAGGTGACCCAGGGAAGGTTTGGTGACCCCGAGGGTGACCCAGGGAAGGTTTGGTGACCCTGAAGGTGACCTGGGGAAGGTTTGGGGACCCCAAAGGTGACCCAAGGAAGGTTTGGTGACCCCGAGGATGACCCAGGGAAGCTCTGGGGACCCCAAGAGTGACTCAGGGAAGGTTTGGGGATTTGGGGAAGGTTTGGTGACCCCGAGGATGACCTGGGGAACACCTGGTCACCCCAAAGGTGACCCAGGGAAGGTTTCAGGACCCCGAGCATGACCCAGGGAAGGTTTGGTGACCCTGAGAGTGACCCAGGGAAGGTCTGGGGACCCCAAGGATGACCCAGGGAAGGTTTGGTGACCCCAAAGGTGACCCAGGGAAGGTTTGGTGACACCGAGGGTGACCCAGGGAAGGTTCGGTGACCCCAAGGATGACCTAGGGGACACTTGGTGACCCCAAAGGTGATCCAGGGAAGGTTTGGTGACCCCAAGGATGACCCAGGGAAGGTTTGGTGACCCCAAAGGTGATCCAGGGAAGGTTCGGTGATCCCGAGGATGACCCAGGAAACACCTGGTGACCCCGAGGGTGACCCAGGGAACACTTGGTGACCCCGAGGGTGACCCAAGGACAGCAGGGCGGGGATTTCGGGGTCCCCCACCTGTGCGAAGGTGGCGGCCATCTCCCGGGAGTGCCCGAAGGGGTCGATCTGCCAGGCCACGCGGGGAGTGCCGCAGCGGCCGAAGAGGCGGCGCAGGAAGCGCCGGCCCAGGCCCAGCTGCTCCAGGACCCCCCCGTAATGCGCCGCGGCCTCGTCGTTCATGCACCAGCCCCCCCCGACCAGCTCCAGCCGTCCTGGGGGGCACAGCACCCCAAAAACACTCAGGGTCACCCCGGGGTCACCCCAAAAACACTCAGGGTCACCCCCACCAGCCCCCCCCGACCAGCTCCAGCCATCCTGGGGGGCACAGCACCCCAAAAACACTCAGGGGACACCCCAGGGTCACCCCAAAAACACTCAGGGTCACCCCGGGGTCACCCCAAAACCCCTCAGGGGACACCCCAGGGTCACCCCAAAAACACTCAGGGGACACCCCGGGGTCACCCCAAAACCCCTCAGGGGACACCCCGGGGTCACCCCCACACACAGCCTGTGCCGCTGGGTGAGGCTGTCACGGTCACAGAGACCACGGAACCCCATCCCAGTGTCCCCAGTAACTCCCAGTGTCCCCTTATGGTGTCCCCAGTAACTCCCAGTGCCCCCCAGTAACTCCCAGTGCTCCCAGTATCCTTTCACAGTGCCCCCCAGTAACTCCTGGTGTCCCCCAGATCCTCCCAGTGCTCCCAGTGTCCCTTACCGTGCCCCCAGTAACTCCCAATGCTCCCAGTATGCTTTTTTAGTGCCCCCAGTGCTCCCAGTGTGCCTTTTAGTGTCCCCCAGTAACTCCCAGTGCCCCTTTCAGTGCCCCCCGGTACCTCCCAGTGCCCCCAGTGTCCCGTTTAGTCCCTCCCAGTGCCCCCCAGTCCCTCCCAGTACCCTCAATGTCCCACTTAGTGCCCCTCAGTGTCCCAAATATCCCATTCAGTGCCCCCAATGTCCCTCCAGTCCCTCCCAGTGACCCCAATGTCCCTCCCAGTGCCCGAAATGTCCCTCCCAGTCCCTCCCAGTGCCCCCAATGTCCCTCCCAGCGCCCCCAATGTCCCTC